CCACAATTTTTTTGCGAATTTAAGTATTTTAATAGGACATGACAGGGTCGTCGAAAAGGGCAGAACAACGTCTGCCTGGCAAGCTAGTTTACGATAAAGTGCAAAATATTAAACATTAGTAAAAGTAAAACCTTACTTCAAACAGCTAAAAAGAACAAAATAATTAGGGCCATGCTTCCGCTTCCGCTCACTAGATGTCGCTAGTTGCCAGTAGGGTGACGTTTAAATAAAAGTTTATCAGTTTCTAGATAATATTAACACAAAACAATACCTCAGTGGTATTCTCTTTAATTTTTATGCATACTTTTCTTCCCTGCTATGAAATCTGTCAAATTACACCTCATTTATAAGTGGTGCCGACCTGGTGGCAGGAAAAGTAGGGGATGCCCAAATTCTAAAAATTTCTAAAGTCGGTCTCAAGACATGGTGTATCGAAAAATTAAAGCTTTTAGTTCTTTGAAGTAGGTTTATGCATTTTTTTTTTGAGTTTAATTTTGTGACACTCTTGGGTGGACTAAGAATTTCCCAATATCAAAGTAACAACTAAAATGTAGTTTTTTTCAGCGCCTATTATTCAAAATTAAGTGAGACCACATAATAAGTTATATCCATATCCATAGATCGTTGAATAAAATCCGGCTCGGAGGACCAAAAACGTGTTTTCCTTAAGCTTTTTTATAATTATATCGCTTATTAATACGGACGTTTTCATTCTATGATAGTAAACAAATCCGACCGCGCTTAATGCTGAAAATACAGTAATTTATTAATTAATGTGATAGAATGTGCACACGTATGGTGAAAAGGGAGCCAACACGAAAGCAACCGTATTGCTCTTAATCTGCTAAATCTTATTTGTTTTACACGTTGATGTGGTTTAGCTTCAAATCAGCATCAACATCATCCAATAAAGTATATGCTGATCAGCGATCGTAGTAACAGTTTATATAAATCTACGCCATAATTGAGACATAAGTGGTTATACAGAAAACAAGTTTTCTTAAAATCATTCGAACCTAGGTCTTCCACTAATCAGTGAGAAACCCCGGCCACTAACCTCATATCCATACCACTCGTTATATAACGGGTTTTAAGACGCCTCGTTATGACGTACGTAGCTAACGAGATAATTATATACCGAGAGGTGACGATCAATTACACACAGAACGCGAGTTATGAAGCCATAACGTTTGCTTTATCTAGAACTAAGTGTTTTGCAGTGTAACTTTGTAAATTAACAAGTTCATTACTATTTTATTATATAGCTTTATGTAAGAGTTGCGATCTTTCTAAAAATTCACAGTAAGCTAACAACCCTCGTTCGCTCCCCATCAGCACCTACGAAATTATTAATGTAATTAATGTAATTAGTGCTGATTTACCACGTGCACGTGCTCGGTGGTGAAAAAAATATTGTGTAATTTACATGCCTGAATATATATGTGTCGAACACATGTGAAGTCCGACCATATCTATTGAAGCAGAGACGCAGACTAAATGCTCTAGAGGCAATGATGGATTTGTAATGAGGCACATTGGGCACTGGCCTGGAGCACCAACACAAAGAGGGCTTCATTGTTTGGCAGAAAGATCATGCCGATTAGAAGAGCAGCTGCAGCGCGGACGAGAGGAACAGGCTCGTTAGTTGAAAGAGCAGCAAGAGGAACAGGCCCGCCGACAGGAGGAACAGGTCCGTTGGTTGGAAGAGCAGCTGCAGCGCGGACAGGAGGAACAGGCCCGTCGGTTAGTTAGCAGCAGATGCTCGTCATGAAGGACATTCACGCTACCTTCAGGAAAGAGATAAGGAAGGTGAAGGATAAGGTTGCTCAACATGACAACCGCCTGTCGGAAGCTGAAACCCGAATCGACCAAGTGAACAATCGGGTTGACAACGTAATGGCTGACATGAAGAAATCACTGGACTAACTGAAACTGGGGGATGGAACTACAGCTCCCGTAGTAGCTACTACACCTTCGCTACGTGGGTTCAAGGTGCCACCATTCGACGGGATTTCTTCTTGGTCAGCCTACAAAATCCAGTTCGAGGCTGTTATGAAGGCGAACGGCTGGAATAAAAATCAGGCCATGACTGCTCTCACATTAGGCCTGCGCGACCAGGCCAGACATTCATCGACGGCATCCGTGACCTTGAAGTCAGAGCTACTGTGAGGCTCGGGCACCACAAGACGCTTAAGAATGCCTTGGCCTTGGCCCATGCACTGGAGGTGGAAGCCGTGCGGCAGGATCTTCGTTCCCATCGCGTCAGCGAGGTTGCAGCAGCTACAGCAGTTCGCGACCGCAATAATGGATACAGCCCTAGGTGCTATGGCTGTGGGGAAAGGGGCCATCTTCGATCCAGCTGCCCTAAGCGAACCGTAAAAAGGGAAGGTGATCGATTTCGAGAGGGTTGTGCGGCTAACAGCACCACCCAGCAGCAGGAATACGATTACGATACTTTGTGATTGAACACCGCAGCGGGAAATCGCATGTCAACGCAGATGTCAAGGAGACCTTGTCCTGAAGATTGCATGAATGCTCAGGACACACCACCTCAGCAATGAGTGGAAGGACAGCTTACGACATGCACAGCAGGAAGATCCGGACATCAAGCCGATTCTGCAATGGATGAAGGCCATTGCTCAGTTCAGCGATGAGTTCGACCACGAAAAGCTATTGGTCCCAATGGGCCAGCTTGCTGATTCAGGGTGGAGTCCTGTGCCGTAAATGGGACAATGGTCGAGGAGACAGCTGTTGTTTGCAAATGGTTGTCCCTAAATCTAAAGTGCCAGATGTTCTACAGCTGTACCATAATGGTTGTTCAGGAGTCCATCTGGGAGTTAAACGAACTCTACTGAAGTTTTACTGGGTCCAATATCGTGACGATGTCGAGGATTGGTGTCGCACATGTACAAGTTGTGCGGCTGTGAGGGGACCTCAGACACGTAGTAGAGGAGCATCGAAATTGTACAATGTTGGTGCGCCATGTGAGAGGACAGCCCTTGACGTTGCGGAGCCGTTTCGAAAAAGTGCAAGAGGTACTCCTAAGATCGTCCATGTGGATCGACTGGCGCGTTGTTATGGGGCGTTATTATTAAACGTAAATTTGTTTAGGCAAAAAAACTTATATGTATTTGTCGTCTTATTTTGTGACTCGGATTCGGAACTATTTGGACTGTTTCTTCTAATTCGTTGAAGCACGTGCCCATGTCACAAAGGATGTTTGGGCAAAAGTGGTAGAAAAAACAAAAAAAAAATTGATTATGGATGACTTTGGAAGAGACATTTTTCATATTTTGACGACATCATTGAAAATCAAATAATAATTAATCTAAACAACGCCAGCTAAACTAGTTGTACTAAAAGTGATTGAATAAACTTATTGTTAATCTAGTTTCAATCCTAAATTTTTATAACTTTTCCTCTAGAAATAAGCAGTAACAACAAATACGAAGAAACTGATAAATGTTGTGTTCTAAATAATCCGTTTTGAATTTATTCTGGTATTATACACACCAAACTGTAAATGGTTAACAACTCTAAATAATCGATATCGATTTTTTTTAAGAATCGAATATTGTACATTCCATTTTTTGGTTGGCATGCTTGGTGCAATAAGTTTGACAGCTGTCAAAATGTATTTCTTAGATTTGGTTGACCATAAGTAGGACAAATCTGGGAAGCCCCGGACGATATGTATATGATTAGGTTATGTCCTAATTCTTAACTGAACTTGTCGAACGCACAAGTCGTTTTTCGAAGACGCACTAGATGTATTTTACGTCCATTTATCCATTAAACCTATAAAAGTGGGAATTTTGCCATAGTTGCCACACTTGGCGGACAGGTTGGTAGCCGTGGTAAAGTTTAATTAATATTTTCGTTTGTTATCAGGAAGACGCTGCTGCCCATCCCAGCCATCCCGGTTTCTACAGTCACAAATAGAGTGGTACAACTCCTATATAAATTTCAACCAGATCTATTTAAACATTTTTTTTATGTTAGACGACAAACAAACTCACAGTCGACCTGAAAGTAAGTGGCTACTAGATGGGTTGTACCATGGACATTTGCAACCAACTTCAAACAAACAACGCTACTGAACCCTGGACTAAGTAGAAATGCCTCACAAATTGTTATTGAGTGCAGTCGCTGCTGCTCGACGTCATAAATATTTTTTATAACTCTATTACTCTTTAAAAATAACAAAAAAGTCGATATTTTTTCTATTATGTCTTACGTCGCCAGTAGATCGATCAGTTATCTACTGCTAACTGATATTATCACAGGAATGTCGCACTGTCCGGTCCTCTGACTTGCGGAAACCAGGGCTCGGTTACAAGTTTCTTCGCACGTTGCCTTAGCGTAAAACTTCGGAAGTGCACGTCAGTAAGAGTGGTCCGGTGAGAAACGTACGTAATGAAAGTTTCGCGTATTGGATCTGTTTATTTTTAAACGAAGAAATAGATATATTTCGTTTATGATGACGGATAGATCGCTCACTTGATGCCTTGTTCTGCCCCATTAATTATATTTTTCACAGCTGGACTTACTGGAGAACTCTTCAACATTTAGTGCCAAAAATAAAATTACAAAAAAATTAAATCATTCAACTCATTTTTTTTATAGAATAAGCATGACAAACGAGCACAGTCCACCTGATGCTGTGGCTCATAGACATCTACATTTATCCTGACTTAAGAATCGTAATGCAGATGCATTGTCATCCCCAAGGACTGAGATGGAATATCTCGTTTCCAGTAAAAAGGGTCTCCGGTTCTCTACACTCACCATACGAAACACAGCAGTATTAAACTAATATTTTACGCTGGTATTCTGTGAGAGCATGGTCCTACCCCGGTCAAGCCGACCCATTCATGTTACAAGCGTAATATAGCTGCAGCGTGGCTCTACCAAAATATATTATACTGGTCAATGAATAATAATTTTAATATTATTTTAGTTTTTTTTTATATAGTAGGTTTCTAAGAGGCTTAGAGACAATGTTTAGGAGGGTAGTTAATTTGAAAACAAGCGACCCGCTTTGTTAAATAATGTTAAATAATTGTTGAATAATGTTGCGTTTATTAGTTTTAAGATATTTAAAGACATTTATTTAATAATATTTGCGGTTTTTCAAACAAAATATATATAAAATATAGCCTAGATGCTACCTGGTATTGCTCTCTATCTTCGTAAAGTTCCATTGCTAACGCTTTAGCCGTTCTGGAGATTATACAGAACAAAAATAAAGACAAAAAACATTATAAAGAGTTATTCATGTTTTATTCGTGTGAGTTTTCTGAGTTCATTGAAAAACAGTTATTTATTTAAACAGGGTTATTTTGTAATAACTGGGGGCATTTGTAGAGAATGTTGAATTTGGGAAATGGTTTTTTATGTATTAAATTCAAAATAACTGATTTTACTGTGCACGCACACATTCGTAAGGGTCGATCGGTAGGCAAAAAAGTTGTCGCCCATAATAACAAATGTTATTTACACGTATCATCAAAAACTGCAATAACTGTATATCATTATTTATATATTTGAACCTAAGTTTAAAATTTGGTTACTCTTTGCAAAATAACCCCGTATCATCATCATTACAGCCATACAGCAAGTCCACTGCTGAACATAGGCCTCCCCCAAGGAATGCCACAAAGCACGGTCCTGAACCACCTGATCCATCGACTTCGTGCGTGTCTTACCAGGTCGTCACTCTATCTAGTGGGGTTCGCCCTACACTATGCCTACCGGTACGAGGTTGCCACTCGAGAACCTTTTTTCTCCAATGGTTGTCGGTTTTTTGAGCTATATGGCCGGCCCATTGCCACTTTAGCTTCCTAATCCATTGGGCTATGTCGGTCACTCTGGTTCTACTGCGGATATCCTTATTTCAAAGTTTATCACGCAGAGAAATATAGTCCATAGCCCGCTGAGCGACCTTGAGCGTCCTCATAGACAGGCACCTGTATAGACAGGCAAAATTTTTAAGAATGGTTATTTATCTCTTAATAGCATTCAACTGACCCCCGGAGCTTAATAGACATTAGTTATTTTAATGTTACCGACACACTTGAAATTACATTTACATGTTAGTTCATGACTAAAAAATAATATTTCGATTTTTAAAATTATATTATGGCCAATGAATAAATAGTAACATTCAATAATTAATTTCATTTTTATTTCTATTATATTTTTTATTACGAATGGATCGGCTCCACCGACGAAGGACCACGCTCTCAAAGTATATTTCATTTGAGTCCTCACGGGTGACAACGCATCTGCATTTTGATTCGTAATCGAGGAACACAGCAACAACCACTTACCATCAGGTGGACTGTGTGCTCGTTTGTCACCCTTATCCTATAAAAATACAAAGTGTATTAAAAGTAAAAAGTAATACAAGATAGTAATGTAAGACGGACAATGAGAGGACTCGGCATCGGCATAAGTGTTGAAGATATAATATATTCTGTCAGAACCGGTATCACAAAATAGTACAATACAAGAAAATTGATGATTGTAATCATCGGTTATCGCTTAACCAACTTAAATATTTCTATACCTGTCTTTTTCTATTGCCAATTAGTGAAAAAAGAGAGAGCAACTTCAAGCATTTTCAAATTGAAGTTGATTTCATTGGTAAGGCCGTGATTGATCAGCTATTACAAGTGTGCATAGTTTTCACCATTAGTAAATTAACAATAAATATTCATGTATACCGAATTACCGAATAGAAACAGTATTACAGTATATTTGCGAACACATTAAAAGAAATAAATTTTACTTTTATTTTAATAATTTTATTTTACAACCGGGGGGGAGGGGGGGTTGACTGAGGTGTTTGACTTTGGGTGCGTTTGGCAGAAAAAAGCGCTAGCAAGCGCTTACAGGCGCTAAAATGGTTTTCATTTGCTTATTTAATTTCTTTGTTTTGAAGTAGAGTTTATAAGTTGTTTTGTGCAATAATAGTTTTAAGTAATATAATGACATGAATTAGACATATAAATGTTATTAAAAATTCATGATTGGTAAGTTTTTAATATGAATACTTTACAAAAATATATTTAAATTAGGTTAGGTTCCCCGGTTAAAACTAACTTCGTGTCCTAGAGGAAAATAGCTACTTACGATTTGACAGCGCTTACCGCTTACGATCGCCATTTTGCTTACAAGCGCTTGTTAGCGCTTTTTTCTGCCAAACGCACCCTTTTACGTTCCAATGCCATAGTTAGCCCGGCTAGTTTCAATTTTAGAATATAAATTTTGGTCCGATCTACTCAGAATGAGTACAGTATCTTGAAGTCTTATAGTGGTATTCTTGAGTTTGGATTTAATTTTATCAATTATAGGATCCCAAGCAGATGGCAACACCAATCCATCCTCTCTGTTGAAATTTGGATGTTTTTTTAATTTCAATACCCTCGCATATCATCCTTGGTAGCAATCGGTGTTTTTTCGAGTATTTAAGGTCTATCAAAAAATCTAATGTAATGACGGGGCGATATTGAACATGTTCACAGACTGGCAGACTTCCCAGAGCGTCGGTGCTACACATCAGCTATATGTTCCTTTACGCGAGTTTTTATAGATCTTTTTGCTTGTAATTTAGTTTTTTTAGCTCTTCTTTCTTCCTATTTTTAAAGAGTAGGGTGATAAACGAGCACACGGTCCATCTAATAATAAGACGATGTTCTCGCCCATATCAGTTTCCTCGAAGAGGTCACCAAAGCGCAGCCAGTAGAGGGAGGCTACTGTGTCTACGAAAGGCTCATGAAGAGCTTTGTAGAACCTCCTGTGGAGCTCCTTGGAGCTCCGGGATCCTATCGGGAGACCGATCCTCGACCTCCCGATCGGCAATGCTATGTACTGCCGGGTCCTAACATTGCTTGTTGGCTAAGGATATAGGGGTCCTTTATCACAAGAAATGACGTCCCTATAGAATGGATCATCCAATCTCCCCAGGAAGTTATTACGGAGGCTACACACTTCGCGATTACGCATGGTGAGCGCGCTTAAAAAGCCACTTACAAGATTATTATATCTATCGTCGATTAAGAATTAAAATGCAAATATGCATATGCAAATATGATTATATGGTGGCTTATTGGGTGCACGGGACAACTTATTTCATACAAAAGTTAAACAAAGAACCAAATGCGTCCGTCACTTATATGTTTTCTTCATTCTTTACAGTTTTTTTTACTTTGCGGTTTCATTCGGCCACTACATTCGTTGCATATGCGTTTGTCTTATTAAAAAAAATCGAAGCGAGATTAAAGTACCGCGGGGACCACAATTGTTAAACACGATTTACAATAACACAAGATGTTGGTGGTGTTAGGTACTTTACTTCACTTGATACAATGATAAAAAATGATATAAAATCTGATGTTAATTCCAATAAGAATTATAGTAAAAGTAACACAATTCTTAATACAGACGGAGATAGTTACATTTATTGTTTGGAGCCGTAAGTTTTCCTTTTATATTAATTTATTACTTGAACTAAAATACAATTTTTAAAGTATACTTTAGTGGTTGAATTACTATTTTTTTTGACTTTCAAAAGCGAAATCCCTGATAATATCATCAAAATTGATTTCACCTAGAAAATCACTTTCAATGCAAAGTAGATAATGTCCTCCAGACCGAATTTCGCTGTGCGGCCTGCCTCAACGGAGGTTAGCTATCTGCGCAGTACAGGATTATAGTGCCCAAGTATATGCGCAAGTACAGGTGTACTCACTATTCTCTTGCTGAGCTGTTGTCATCTGCACGGGCTTTCTGCCTAGCAGCTATCGGGCCTCGGGGTGTGCCCCCTTTCCCGGTTTGGCAAGTTTGGGCGCATTTGGTGTTAAAAGGCATTGTAGATTCAAATGGCGACTTTTTTGTCGCAGTCAGGTAATTTTCAAAAAAAAAGAGGTTGTCTCAATATTTGTTTAACACAAATATTTTGTCTGAGTTGGCCTATCTGCGGCATTGTGGGATTTACTCGACTCCCTAATCTTTATAGGGAGGAGTTCTCTTGGATAGGGTCACCCGTCCGGGGGCCGTGAGTGCAACTGCGCAAAGCCGTTGAGGTGTTCATGTGGCCCTTTGTCGGCGCGGTCGAACATACCGCGCGCTAGCCGGGCCACGAAATCGTGTAAGCTCTCTATTCTGATGTTGGCCGCTATGACGTCATTCCGGACGTAGCGACACGCACCGACTATGGTTCGTAAAGACAAGTTCTGCTGGGCCTGTAGTCGCCGCTTCTGTCGATCGCTCAGGAGCGCGTACCAGGCCGGAGCAGTGTACGTTAGCAGGGGTCTTATGTACATTTTATATATGGTTAACTACGACTTTGTCGGTAACTTGGATACCAGGACAGGATGGAGCATCGCCCACGCACATCGAGCTTTGCGGACGACGAAGTCGACGTGCGCAGTCATGCGCAACATCCTGTCAATCCGGCATCCAAGGTAGGTCACGGCCTTCCCATATGCGATCTCCTGGCCTCTGAGGGTTAGCGGTGGTGGAAGTCTTCTGAAGCGGCGAGTGAGCAGAGCGGTTGTCTTGCTAACATTAACGGCCATCCTCCACTCATCCAGCCATGGTGGCAGCAGGTCCAGCAGACGTTGCATCCTGCCAGTGGCGATATGGGCTCTTCTGGACGAGGTGAAGTAGGCGCTGTCATCCGCAAATAGCGCCAGCTCGACGTCGTCCTCCCATTCGCCTCTATTCTCTTACTCTCATAATCGAATGGGACGGTAAACCGACACGACCGGGAGAGAGATCAGGCGCAAGACCACGGCTTTACGTGCTTTCCGAGGCACGGAGGTGAGACACCGCCAATTTCCTGACTCCGGGCAGCTACTGAGAATTTCTTGACGGAAAAACTCAATAATTGATTTTTTTGGCCCGACCCGGGATTTGAACCTCATGATTAGCAGTTACACTATTACAACCACTATACCAAAGAGGCAGTCAAAAGGCAAAGTGAATAGTAATGATAACGCATCCAATATTTGGTTTATCATAGTACGATAAGACTTTTTTAATCTCTTTAGTTGTAAACCAACCACTCTACCGGACCAACGATGAAGAGCAGCATCAAAGGTGCGAGACGTCTGTGATATAACACTAACGATAAAGTTACGTTATTTATAAAACATATAACGACCCTCCGCTACTGCTTAGGCGTCCTGAGATACTGTTTCGATCAACTATCTGCTATCGGCTCAAGCTACCGTCAGTATCTACATACAGCGATGAAGAGATTTTTAAAGTAAGGTTCATGAGAGTAATAAGGTCATCTTAAGCTTTGCCGTCATATAAAGCCAAAACTAGGACGAGGATAGATACAAAAACACAAAGTCGTATACTATTAATAATATATCAATGAAAAAAATAGCAATCAAGCTTTGGCAATAATCAGGAACACTTCGAAACTAACTATAATACGCCATACTAAAATCGACTAAAATATTTACTATAATGTCAACTGCTAAAATGGCTTCGATAAAGCAGTGTCCTTTTGATCCTTGATTATTAAATTGACGGATGAAGAGCTATCAACACATATAGCCTTCTATGCAAACAAGGCTGTAGTTTTTGAGTTATAAGAAAGTGACCATATTAACCGGATGACCATATTACCCTCACGTACTATATATTTTTATTATAACTTTATACTGGTAAAAGTACAACCGTACAGACCATTACTAAAAAAAGGGAAAAGCTGCTGTAATTAACAACATTCCATTGAAAGCAATAACTATTCAATAACTTTTAATATCACATAAAACTAATCTTTCATTAAATCGCTTTTTAAAAGTAAATCTATGGCGAGAAAGTAGTGTGTTGGTGTAAGCTTTTGTCTTTTTTCCCGGTGATGTTAAATTACAATTTATTTCACTTCCACTTTCTAAAAGATAAAATGATCTCGGATATCAATTCGCGCGCACTTTTAAAAACTAATTAAAGTTATTGACAATTAATCCCATCCTCCATTTCTGTTTTAATGGAGAGTGGGCAAAAGAGCACGCGGCTCACCTGATGATAAGTGATTACCGCTGCACACGAATAACTGCTGCGCCAGGGGAATTACAGATGCGTTGCCAGCCTTTTAAAAAGGAGTAGGCTCTTTTCTTAAAGGTCCCTAAGTCGTATCGATCCTGAAAAATCTCTGGTGGTAGTTGATTCTGCAAGGAAGTTGTGTGAGGAAGAAAACTTTACATTACTTTGAACTAGAAAAGACATCAGGAACGACCTATACGTGGTAGAGCTACGCTGCAGCTATATTATGGTTGTAGCACGAAAGAGTCGGCTCGACCGGGGAAAAACAACGCCCTTACATAATACCAGCATAAAATAGCAGCTCATTGTTGTCGTATTTCCTATGTCGAGCTTAGAGAATCGAAGACCCTTTTTACTGGATAGGAAGCATTCCATCTTAGTCCTCAGGATTGACAACGCATCTGCATTGGGATTCAAAATCGGGGGTAGATGTAAATGTCTATGGGCCACAGTAACCATTTACTATCAGTTGGACTGTGTGCTCGTTTAAAATATAATAAAAAACCAAATCGTACGGCTGTATCGTTTTTATGGCACGGACTAATTAAGTTTGAGACCGCGTGCTCTAAATAAACCTCGCCATCTCTTCTAGCACGTAGTACATATTAATTCCATGCTTGTCGATGAACTCTTAACTCCGTAGTCGGCGGAAGATTAAAAATGTATGGGTCTTCAAGCATTTCGTACGAATAAAATAAGAGAGCCTTAGTAATTCAGTGGCCCAGCTTTCGTCTTAAATTTAACGGTAAGCGTGCAACCCGGTTCCATCCTCACAGAACTGGACACACGGAACGTTTTTAAAAAAATTAAATAAAAATAAAAATAAACTACAGAATTTGTTGATTGTAATTTTTAAGTGTTGAATTTACTACAACATCTAGGGGTGTCCTCGACTACGAAGGAACTTATTACACAGACGTATTTTTATCACTGAGACAGTGCGTGTTCCACTTGACGCAATGAAACTAAACCTATAAAACGCCTATGGGTTAACGAGATAGCGTAAGGCAGGCTTGAATTTGGTTTTCTATTTTGTATTTTATAATGTTGGCAATTTTACTACCGTCGCTAGAATTTCTTTGTTTCGTTCTAGATTTCTCTAGGTTTTAGCACTGCTTTTCTGCAAAGTGTCCATCTGTGGGAGGTACTACACTTTTAAGTAAGCACTGCTGTTCGTGAAAGAAATTGAGGCCTTTTTTTACTGGTGATAAAGACATTCTATCTTAGTCCTCAGACGTGACAGCGCATTTACATTTTGATTCTTGTTCGAAAATAGATGTGGGTGTTTATATGCCACAGCATCCATTTACCGTCTGATGAACTGTGTGCTTGTTTGTCACCCGCTTATAAAAGTATATACTGTTATTTTATGAAAGGTATAATTGTTAATTCCAGAATCAGAGAGTGCAGCAGAATGGTAAAGGCTTCGAGTGGAGTTGGCAGTTGTCGCCAGTAGATTCAGTGCCCGCGAATCAGTTTTATGTCCAACTGTCTCAGGTAAATAAATTATCATATATTTTTTGTATAGAATAAGGGTGACTAACGAGCACTCAGTCCACCTGGTGGTAAGTGAGTGCTGTGACCCATAGACATTTATACCTCCCCTAATAAAGAATCAAAATGCAGATACGTTGTCACCCCTGAGTACTAAGATGGAATGCCCTGTTTCCAGTAAAAGGGGTCTTTGGTTTTCTACACTCATCGTACGAAACATACAGTGGCGTAACAATAAGGTGGCAGGCCGGGCAAAATGCCACGGGCTCCCAGCCGGAGATAGCCGGGGCGCAAGAGGAACTTAACATTTCTCATAACAACATTTAGCTAAATGTATTAGTTTTATCTTTAATATGCTGTACTCAGGGTTTCTGGGGAAATGAGGATATCCGTAGTAGAACTAGAGCAACCAGCATAGCCCAACAAAGTGGTAATGGGCCGGCCATATAGCTCGAAGAAGCGACAACCGATGAGAAAGAAACGTTCTCGAGTGGCGGCCTCGTACCGATAGGCGGAGTGTAGCGAAATTTATTACAGTTATTTTAGGCAACTAAATTAAGCCGTGTTTCAGTCTGAAGGCCATAGAGAATCAGTATTATTACAGGCTGTGTGGCATTCCATCTCAGTCGTTACAGGGGATAGCGCATCTGTAGCCCTCTTTGTTTGAAGTTAGCTGCAGGTATCTATGGGCTGCAGTCTGCAGTAACTGCAGCTATCTACGTAATGGCAGTTCGTTTTTCATTTCAGTTTTATAAAAAAATGCTCAACGCACGCTTTGTTCTCCCACTCGTGTCAAAAAAAATGCTCAACGCACGCTTCGTTCTCCCACCCGTGTCAAAAAAATGCTCGACCAACGCTTCGTTTTCCCACTCGTGTCAAAAAAAAATGCTCGACGCACGCTTCGTTTTCCCACTCATGTCAAAAAAAATGCTCGACGCACGCTTCGTTCTCCCACTCGTGTCAAAATTAGTAGCTTAACTGATGAATTAAAATTTTAATAACTATTAACCTACTTATAGAACTAAAAACAATATAATCATCGAAATCCGTTGACGTGGTCAAAAAAATTCGATATCGTATAGATGCGTTTGCAAATTGAAGAGTTAGATCATCGAAACGAGCACACAGTTCACCTGAGAGTAAGCGGTAAAGGGTCTACCGTTCTCTACACTCACCATACGAAACACAGCAGCATTGAGCTGCTATTTTAAACTGGTATTCTGTCAGAGAGTGGTCCTTCCTCGACCGAGTCGCCCCATTCGTGCTACAACCACAATAGCTACAGCATGACTCTACCACGTAAAAAACGTTAGCAAGTTCCTTACACGTAGTAAGTAGTTGTTAAATTAATATATACTTATGTTTATTCCACAGCCAGTACAAGGAGTTCAGTATGCATCGAACGCTGGTGTCTTACAAAATATAGAACCAATACCCGACGGCAGCGGCCAAGCAACAGTGGGATATAATCATGCGGTTAGTATATAATTTAATTACTATGACAAATACATTGCGCACTAAGTTACAATTCTTCGTTACCCTTTTAGTAGGGCGAGAACTGCCCTCTCGCAGTTAACCGCGTAGCGGCGGTGTAAGAATATCGACTACCCCATATCATACCGTTGGTGTCGTAAGAGACAACCGAGGGAAACAAATCAGGAGATGGGCAGCAGCATCTTCCTAATAACGACTAAAAATATAAAACTTCGGTTGCCAACCCGCTTGCCAAACGTGGAAACTATGGCAAAAATCTCCGTTGTGAGGCAATCTATAGGGGAGGCCTATGTTCAGCAGTGGACTTTAATAGGCTGTAACGATAAAGCTTATTTAGCCTACTAGCTTAGCTTTGTATGTTTACCTACCTACTGTGAACATTGATTTTGACAATCTAACACTGTTTTTGTTTAATTTGACTAAAAAGCACTGATATTATTTATGTGCACTTTTTGTACATTATTTGTTCTTTCATTATTATAAGCAACTCTTTTATCGAATTGAAGAAACACACTATCATATAGACGAAACTTGGTTGCTCTACTCTGTAGTAGCTATTTCTGTAATAACACTAACAAAAATGAATCGTGAGAATAAAACTTTACAATTATTTGTTGCAGGTACCAGTTCAGATATATGAAAGTCCATCGCTACCTAACAACACTCAGATAATACATAACAGTCAAAGTAACGGAAATTCAGCGCATACTCCCGTCGACATATATCTTCTTCAACAGCAATTCCCTTTGCCAGTGTATCAAACTGTGCAGGGTAGTTTACCAGGCGATTTAATACATTATAATAATATAAAACCAAATTTATTCAGCTTAAATACTTTAAACCCAACCGGGTACAATTTCCAAACTAATCATCTAATAACAAATAGTCAACAAGCCATTGAACCACAAAATAGCGATCGGTCGAGCAAAGAAATGAACCCGATAATCTCACTTCAAGAAATCGATGCTGAAGAAAATTACGTGCCGTTAACATCAGTTGTGCAAGTTTTTAGAGATCACAATTGCTCTAACGAAGACTTAAAAACTGCAAATGAATTTAATAACAATATGCAAAAATCGACAGAACTAGTTGCGGAAATCCCGACATATAAGCAAAATATAAATGAAAATTTTAGGGAGGCTGATCAGCAGAATGAACCATTGTTCTACAAAGGGGCAACTAATTTCAAAATTGAACAACCAAGAGATAATACAAATAATGTAGGATATTATTATTATTCGACTGAAACCAGTCCAATCTCAACTGGAAATACTAATACTAGAGAGCACGACGGTATATCACGTTTAGTAGCTTCAACCCAAGATCTTATATCAAACGATGATTTATTAAGAATCAATCATTCCGCTGAGAAACACGTTACTGAAATTTATGACGATTATATCAAACCACGATCTAGATTTAATTTAAAAAGTGAGGAGACACGTTACATCGAAAACCCACGAAATCATATAAAAGTGAAAGCAAAAATATCTAATATAGAAAACAGAGTAGTCGACTCCTCAAACAATGATGCATCTGACAAAATTCAGCAAGACAATTATGAAAGTGGTAAGTTTACATCTCCTATCGTTGTACAGGAATTCAGTGATGCCGATTACAAAGAGCAGGTTTTAAATACTTTAGTATCGACTATGACTCCATATATAGAAAACGGATATGAGATTGTAAATATAAAAAAGGACTCTAAAGGAAATTATACTAAAATTTTCGTACCACATTATTTTAACGAGGAGATAGTTTATGTAACTCCAAGACCTATAGGACAGAGATACTTGGCACCTATAACTGTAGCACTGAGATTGCTCAATTCCAATCATACTGATTTAAATTCTATTGATGATCACGATACTTCTGATACTGAAATCGTTGAGGAAACCGTGAAGAGTCCATCCAAAGAAAGAACGATCGTAGAGGTACAACAATCGATACCACTAGATATAACTCATATTAATGATGTTGAAGTACATGAGTATTTGGAAGAAGGCAGAAGTAATTCAAATCCGTTTGATGTGGCAAAAACTTTGTATAATACTTACAAGAAAGTCCTACAATTTACGAAGAAAAATGAAGAAAATATAAACGAAGTTCTTAATAAATATAATAATAAGGACAGTGGTGAAAATTCTGATTCAAATTACGATGATGTTGATCCAAGTGATGAAAACAACCAGGAAACCAAAGAAAAACTAGAACCTAGTGAAAATGTGCAATCTGAGGTTCAGTTGAACATCAACAGCGATGACATAAACAATAATGGATACGAAAACGAAAATTACTATAGTAAACAAAATGCTAATGGTAGAGAAGCTATTCAACCGGTAATTATAGAAAAAGAAGTGTCTGTCCCCCAATATCTAGACCACTATATAGAAAAGCAAGTGCCTGATCGAATGGAAGTTGTTAAACAAGTTCCCGTTGATAGACCAGTCCCTGTTCCAGTGCCATACGAAAAAGTTATTGAGAAACCGGTTGAAGTTACGAAATACATAGAAAAGCCTTATCCGGTCCAAGTGCCGCAACCTTATCCAGTAGCAGTGAAGGTACCATACCCCGTGGAACAGAAAGTGTACATAGATCGGCCAGTACAGATACCGTATCCAGTTGAAAAATTAGTAGAAAAAGAAATTATCAAAACTGTTCCAGTTCCTACACCTGTAGCCGTACCATTCAAAGTACATGTTCCAGTCGAAAAACCAGTTCTATATCCAGTTCCGATAGAAAAACCAATACTCGTACCGATTGAAAAACCAATACCAGTCGAGAAAATTGTTCATAAAGAGGTTCCAGTTCCATATCCGGTAGAGAAGACAATATTGTATCCTGTACCCTATGAAAAAAAGGTTCATGTGCCCTATCCCGTGGAAAAACAAGTACCGTTTCCCGTTGAGAAAATAGTAGAGAAACCTGTACCAGTGACTCAGGTCGTTGAAAAACCTGTACACGTGAATGTACCCGTTCCTGTTCCAATTCACATAGTGAAACACTATCCTGTAGACAGGATAGTCGAGAAAAAAATTCCCTACTTCTTTCCGGTCGATAGAATTGTACAGAAAAGGGTACCAGTAAAAGTCCCTTATCCCGTGGAAAAAGTGGTTCAGAAACCGGTGGTGTTAACCAAATACATCGATAGACCGTACCCAGTGGAAACAAAGGTTCCTCATATTGTTGAAAAGATTATTGAAAAAAAGCTACCGTATGCGGTACAAATTCCATATGCTGCTACGTCATCAACCCATGGAAATAGTGAACAAGAGTCTCAAAATCTACTTCATTACCATCAGTACCATAGTCAATCTAAACAAAATCCATATCCTGTTCAAAACATACAAGATCATCAAGCGCAACAAGGATACCTCAACCAATACTACCAATATTTAAAAGAAAGGCAGCAGACATATAGTGTACCAGTTCAAACAACGCAATGGGGCAAGTTGTACGCGTCGTCATTCAAATACCTAAACGTAACGCCTGAAGACAATAATGATACGAAGAAAATAAACGACGTAACATATCTAACGGTCAATGAAAACACTTATTACGGCCCCCCACCGGTACAATTTTATGACAGTATGTGGGAGAAAAACAATAATCAAATTCTCGAAGCTAAGCTGAAAAGAAGTGATAGAACGCCGAAAGTAACTAATATAAGATTAGAATATGGTTTCAAACCTCCATTAATCCCCAGCACGGAAGTCGATTTGGACGGGAGACCTATAAACAAAGAATCGGAAACTTAACATGTTTGAAATTTCAAAGTCAAAAAATCATTTAGATTAATGTTATTTATGTTTTTAAACTAGTAGGTAAATAAATAAATTGTACAAATTATATGAAAATTAAAGTTAAGTTATTTTATTTTTGAGTAAGATTCATTATATACAATTAATACTCAGACTTATACATTTACAAAATTATAAGAAAATAATGAAAAAAAAATGTTATAAAATAATATCATCCAGACCGAATTTCACTCACCATATTTACTCATATGGTCGCCAGACGCGTTCAGTTCAACCGACCATTCCAACTGATCAGTTCGAACTGGGACTGTTGATATTTTTTAAAATATTTAATTTTTTTTAAATTTACGCAGATGCGCAGAAGTGAGGATACAGAATACCAACGTAAAGTAGCAGCTTATAATAATAATGCAACTGTGTTTCGTATGGTGAGTGTAGAGAACCGGAGATCCTTTTTACAGGAAACGAGGCATTCCATCTCAGTCCTCAGGGCTGGCAACGCATCTGCATTTTGATTATTAATGGATTTTTGATGTATCGATAATTATAAATATATCAATAACGGAGTTTTATATACTTATAAGTTTATTTATCGATATATCGAAAATCCGATATTTTAAAATGTATCAGCAGTCCTAGTTTAACTTCAGTATATCGGTTGAATTGACCGTGTGTGTCGTCCATTAGACCATCCATCTGCGCAGGACGGGATTATAATACTCGAGTGTGTGGGTAAGCAATCTCCCTCCTATAGCCCAGGGGACAGAATATAATAGTTAGAGAGAGAACAGGTGCAGTACCAACGGCTTAACGTGCTTTATGTTCGTGTCTGAAACATGGAGTCATGACATAAAAACATTAAATTCGGGAAAGCCTATGTTTAACAATAGATTCGTGAACAGCTGTAAGTAAAGATAATAACACTAGTGAATGTAAAATAATAGAAAAATATTGTATTTTTGTCTAATACTTTAAAATTAGCTTTAATTATTCGAGTTAACGTCATTATTTAGATAATACTGTAATTTTTAGTTTATATTAACGATATAAGCTTTAGTTTTACCTTTATGTGCCTGTATTTATAAAATTCTTTAGATTTTATTTTTCAACAAATAAAAAATAACACATTTCTTTACAGTGTGCAACGCCAATTGATATAAATAAACGTATTTTTAAAATATTGTTGTGACTTTATACAATAAAGAAATATTTAATAATTATTTTTCTTTTGTGCCTTCAATTTTTTATTGGTAATCATTCAATTTAAGATGAGCCCAATGATGCCCGGGGTCGATAGAGCCGAAATTAGCCCACCATTTCTTAAAATTAAAAATATAAAAGCAACAACACTTCTATAGTGTTTATATTATATTACTAGCTGTAGACATTGCTTTAACCTTTCCGATGACATTTGGTCATGTAAAAAACCTTAAGTTCACAATAAAAAATATTAAAGGTACACTTATCGAGTCAAAAACTATCCTATCTCTCAAGTTGAACCAAACTATATATATCAGTTCAGTAGTTTATGAGTACATTGCGGACAAACAATGTGACACGTTATTTTTATATACTGACTGTATCGGATAAACCACGTAGCAAGAGTAGCAATCAATACGGGCCCCGCGCAAAAGCGGGCCCCGCGTATCCAAGCATCCCATCATTGCCAAAGCGTACTTTTAAAAATTAATAATTTAAAAATAACTAAAACTTAATAAGACGGTATATTCAATTTACTTGATGTCACATAAACGTGAAACGTTGCAAATGACAATTGGTAACCGATGGCGAAATTAAAACGTAGAATTTCATACAGTAAACGCACAACATGCCGAATAGCTCAGTTCTCATTCTACTGATACTGATTGGCATATGCCACAATCTGGTCTGACACAACTGGTCACTTTGTCCACGTAGATCCATATGTGGTATATATCCACCTTCCCTGTTGGACCTTCTGCTGACCTCTCATCCGGAGGGCTATCAGGTCTCCGCCGATGCCCCTCTTGGCTCTTCGGATCATTAACTGATCCGGAGTACAGTGTCCGTCACTTGCTCATTGCAAGCACGATCTGCAGACTGCCGCTATGTGTAGCGGCACTGTAGGTCGGCGGATTGGGTTGGTATGCAGGCTTTTTTGCATCCTACCCATGGGGGGCGGATTATCTTCTCGCTAGATGATCCCAAAAAATTCGTTGCTGAGTCTTCCGCTGATGTGGTGCTTGAGAGGATGGAACTTTTGATCTCGACATCCGTAGTGCCTACCGGCGGCAGATCCCAGTATTGGTTTGAACGCTCCTGCAAAATTGATGACCTTGGGTGACGCATCGGCGTCCCGGTCCGTCCACCACTAGCGAGCGCTTTCAAAAAGAAGTTCATCTCTGCCTCCAGGTCCTTTAAAAGAGTTATCCCTAGGGCAAACTCGGAGCATATTGGGAGAATTGGCGAGGAACTAGTTAGCCTTTCTTCGAGAACTCGTGCGTTCTTATCCATCGGCAAGGCTGCCTAAGGAAATTTCTGTAAACTATCATTCTCCATTAATTTATTTAATTCATTCTACATGAACGTCGCAAATGAGAAAGCCGATCTTTTAGGTCCTGTTTTTGCGTCCAAATTGACACACGACGACGGGGGAATTTAATGGCCGACCATCCCGTGCTTCATGCCAGATGTGCTGTTTACACAGCGCTCGGTGCGCAAGACACTCTTGTCCCTGGACGTCCACAATTTGACCTGGTGGAATCCCCTAAATTGTGGTGTAGACAGGCGCTCCAGAGTTGGCATCTGTTCTAACGTGTCTTTTCCGGTTCTCTTACTCTAGGCGTCATTGAATAGGGGTTCCAGGTTCCAGGTTCATGGAATACGGCCTTAGTGCACACGATGCCTAAAAAAGGTGGCTTCTCAGACCCGTCCAACTACAGGCCTATCGTTATCAACTCCTTGTTCATCAAAGTAATGGAATCCATTATTAACTGCAAGATCATGCGGTACGTCTAAGAGCATCAGCTGATTAGTGACCGTCTATACGGTTTCCGTAGAGGTCGCTCAGTTGGTGGTCTTTTTGTCAACCCAACTCACCGATAACCGATGCAGTCGGGACCAAGGGGGAGACCATGGTCGTTATTTTGACATAGCGAAGGCTTTCGATCGGGTTTGGCACAAAGCGCTTCTTTCAGTTTCCCAATTATGGGCTTCCCCAGAAATTATGCAATTTGGTCACTAGTTTTCTTACAGATTAGAGTATTAATGTCGTAGTCGTCGGTGCATTTTCCATCTCCCAAGCCTGTGAATGCTGGTCATCCACTGCGTGCTGTGTTGCATACTAGTAATATTCATTGTTATTCAGGCGACAGTACTGGCGATGTTTTATACACCGACCGTGCTAATATTTCTTGGGAACACGTCGTTGTGTGTCGGAACACACTTCTATCTAAATTCCAGTCTTTGGTGAACAAATTCTCGGAATGGGAATGACTAAAGTTTAATCCCCAAAAGACACAGGTTTGCGTATTTACCGCAAAAATAACCCCTTTGTCGTATCTCCTCCATATCAGGGCACTCCCGTCATTACCTCAGCCAGCATCGAAATCCTTGGCGTCGAAATTTCGAGATAGTACGATTACAGTTTCGTAGGCGCTCGCAAGGGAAGGCTAAACTAGCATCAAACTTGGAGTACTCAGTAGATTGAGACAGGATTTATTTATTTACTCTTTATTGTACACCACAATACAAAAACATCAAGTACAGTTAAAACTAAATTAGAATATGTACAATAGGCGGTCTTATCACTCTGAAAGTGATTTCTTCCAGACAACCTTTGCGTAGAGAAATGATGCAAACAAAAGTTAAAATAGAGGGGGGCATACTAAATAATAATAAAAAATATAAAAATACATACAAATAAAGATAAGTGAAAATTATATATAAAATATCATATAATAGATTAAATGAAACGAGTAAAGATTTCATGCCGGACTACCGTTTGCAGCTTTATAAAGCGCAAATTCGGCCTCATATAGAATAATGTTCTAATTTCTGAGCCGGAGCACTTCAGTATCAGCTTATTAATCGTAACTGCTGAATTACATCATTGTACATCTTACACTGCGCCAGAAATCGAAATTCCATCCTCATAATCCCGATGGCTGGCGGTTCACTACTGTTCGATTTACGCGGAATATTCTGCTTAGCACGACCAAACTGTAGAATTTACTGTCGCCTGCAGTTTTTTCGGACATACGAGTAATATACGACAAATACGACAATCTAACGCCCATAAAGGAAAAGGACACATGCTATATTTATCTAAAATAACATGCGAGAATTTTTTTCTTTATTTTTTTTATATTTATCAAATTAATTGCATCAAGCAGGAAATAAATCACATGCGTGAAACGGAATAAATGACAATTACATGGAATGGAATACTATAAGTCAATAACGCATGCAAGCGACTAGTGCGTCTCTTATATGCCTAATATAGGTCTTAACACGGGATACACCCTTTATGAATAATTATAAGGAACAATGCGATAAACATTTTAAGATATTAAAGCAAAAGCCAAAGATCTGACAGGCTGTCATGAATATCAGCAACAAACTTCAAGACGACGCGAGTGAAACACAAAGTACGAACATTTTAGCGGATATAGTACATTTGACGGATTTGTTGAAACAGAAACACCTGGTAAACAGTTTGAAATGGTGTTTTGGAACATTTTAACAAGGAGTTATATGTACTCAATCTACGACTGAATTAGCAGTGGCTTTCGTAGCAAAACAAAGTTGGTCCATTTGCGTCAATTCGGCAAGGTAAAAAAGCTTGAGAAATAGGTACCGCGTGAAGTCAATGATCGCCAGCGCAAAGTACGCGTCGACACGTGCACTGCACTGTATACAACAGGCACACAAACGAAGAAATTTTTGAACCGCATTATCATGTAAATATATTACAGACGAAGAGATTTTGAAAGAAACTCCAATTATGGTCAATGCTT